TGAAAATTTATTGCAAGAATCTAAAATAAAAATATTTAGAAGTTCAAATTTAAAAATAATCTGGCAATCTATTTTTTTTAAATTTGTATAGAATTATAACATACTTGTAATACTCATTTGGTTCTTAAAAGACTAGTTACAAGGAAATAATAGCTATTCCATCTTGTTTCACTTGGAACAACTATACTAAAATATCTTTCATATGTTATTTTTTATTAATTACATAATTGCTTAATAAAATATTTGTTATTTGCATTTTTAAAGTATACAGCTAGTTGAATTGCTTTATCTATTGTACATTTTAAGTCAGTTAATTCTTTAAATACTTCACCTATACACAGGTTTAGCTGATGAGCATAACAAGAGAAAAATACAATATCTCTATAATTTTGCCTTAATCTTTGCCTAGTATTAATATAAAATATATATATAATTAAATTAGAAACTAATATAAATTAGATAAAAATAAAAATACCCAGCAGCAGCATATAGTCCTGCACTGTCTGTAACAATTGCAATTATATTTATATTTATATTCTTTAATTCATCAATCATATTTTCTGTTTTTTCTATTACTTTAAGATAGTTCTCTCTCTCTGTACTAATATCCATTGCTTTCTATATATAAAGTTTTCCCTCTGAAGTAACTATCATTATATCATTAGCTGTTTATTATTAACATTTGTCCATCCATCGAATATAAGAGTAGTACCAACAAAATCTTCATAAAGAGCTTCATATATTTCTATATTATATTCTGAAATAGCAACTTTTAAAGATAATTCACAGAGTCCAAGATCTAGAAGTTTTATTAGAGAATTTAAGAAATTGAACAATTCATATACTTCTGGTTTATTTATCTAATTAAAAGCCTAATCATAAGCAATAGTAAGCCTAAACAAAAAGATTTTAAATTTTTCATAATCTTCTTATGATAATGGATGAACAATATAATTGTCAAGTGGGCCAAAGGAAGAGGAAGATCATACAATAGTTTTTCAAGTAGATGATTGTAATGAAGTAATTATAGTATCATATAATAAACTAAAAAACATATTGATAAATATTTTATATATAGTAACTTAAATAAATTAAATTAACTTATTCTTACTAGATTATTTAGTTGATTCATTATTAGACAAGTCAAAGACTTTTTGCCTCTTTTCAGGAGTTGTATGTGCTATAAAATTTATGCATTTTTTAAGATGCCTAATAACTCTATCTTTTTTATTTGGAAAATATATTTTTTTCCTATCAATCTTACCTAATACATTAACACATACCTTATAATAAACCTTATAATTACTTTTATTAATCTTTTCTCCTATACTTCTAATAATATAAGGTTCTA